GGTCATTGAAACGGTGCTTTCCATAAGTATTCACACCCTTTAAACTTTGTCTCCCATTGTGCGACAACCACAAACTTGAATGTGTTTTTAGGAATTTTATGTGACAGACCAAAGCAGAGACGTGTCTAATTATTTTTTGAAATGTTTTACAAATAAAAATCTGAAAAGTGTACCATGCATATTTATCCGGGCCCTGTGAGTCAATACTTTGGAACCCCTTTCTCCTACAGGCTTAAAATCATTTCAGTATAAATTAATACACTTTACTTATTTAGAGACAAAACTGTTGTCCATTATTCTTTGCAAGCTCAGATTAATATCAGTGCTAGCTTTCCACCAAACATAGCCGTTATATTATTGGACAAGTTACATTTTGGTCTCAGAGGACATCAGCACCTTCTTCCACGTCCTGGCCGTAGTACCTGCATTGCTTTTGGTGATTCTTATCTTCAGCAGTTGGTTGTTGAGATGCAGGTTTCACTTGGAACAACCTGCCATTAAAGCGCAACACAGAGACACCAAAGGCAAACAACTATATGTAAGGACAATTCAGAAGAACCAGTAACCTAACATATTTTTAGACAGAGGAAAGAAGCATGAGAACCTGGAGAAAATTTGCACATAAAAAGAGAATACAAACTCCAGAGCCAGGATTCCAAACCTAGAAAATGCTCAAGTAATTTCTTGATTTTGCATTTTTTTTCTGGATGAATGACAGTAAGCCTGACTTCAAGAGTGAATTAATCAAAAGAACACAGTCACCAATTGTTGTACCATTCATTGTCTTAAATGGTTCAAGTCAGTAGTGTCTTTGTTCTTCTTCTCCAGTCTGCTCATTATGATCCCAGGCAGAAATAGAAATGCTAATACAACCACCAGCATGTTTCTGGTTTAAACTTGACCTCGCTGATTACTGTTCTTTATACAACTGTACTTTTTAACAATACAACATTTGTCTAAAAGAGTGTGAGGCTTTTCAGTCTATTCCTCATTCTATTCCACTGTGCTCCCATGGTTTTTTTAAAAAAATCTCTTTGGAAGGTTTTACTTGATATTCAGTCTGAAATGTTTTTTTTTTTTTTTTCTCACCAGCTACATTTTTTTGTCAAAGTAAGTTAACATTCACTGTGATCCCGTTTATTTTTTCTTATGATCAGAGAGTTTCAAAATTGTCTTAAGTTATTGGGTGTGGTCTCTGGTAGCTAATAAAAAAGAAAAATGTAACAAGAAAAACAATTTGTTAAGAACCATGTATGACCTGAAGATTCTGACAATATGCCAATTTATGTGTTTCTCTCTTTGTATTATTATTATTTTTTTTTTGTATTTTTTTTTTTTTTTTGTAAATGTCATCCATTTAAGGGTTTAGGTTTGGCTGGTGGTGCACTGAATAAAAATACTGAAATTTGCGATATAATATTAACTGCACATTCATCCCTCCTTATCTTGCACATTGTAGGAAAGTCCAAAAAAGGACTTTTGTAAATTTAAATTCTTAGTTGGGATTTTGGCTACTGTTGGTTGCAACACAACATTGAAAATGTAAAAAATGTCTATAATATATACTGTATATAATAGGGTTTTTTCTATTGTAGTTTTGCGTTCCACCATACAAGTCAAGTGAGAAGTTTGTATTTATCCATTACGGGAGTGGATGCCATGTGCATGCTGGGATTTCAATACAATTTTTGAAGTGATAAAACAATGAATTAAATTATAAGGAAAACACTAGTACAGTGTTTTTTTAGCCCTTTTAACATATTACCAAAGTCTAAGCCTGGTGCATTGTTGTGAGTTTGTGTGGATTAAAGAAATGCATAAGTTAGATTAAAGAATTGAATATTCTTAAGAAGCAATAATTAAGTACAACCCATCCTCAAATATTTGTACTTACCAATGCTAATGGTTATAAATTTGCTTTGCTTATGAGCCAATTTTAAAGGATGACTACTCCTAAATTACCTCAAATGACACGTTTATGCGCAGGACTAAAACTTTGTCTCTACTTTCCATTTTAATTTAAGGAGTGGGCTCATCAATCTGTCATATAAACCTTTAGTTTAAATCTCGAGTTTTATCTGTTCTTTTGCTGAGAGCTCTCCAGATAAGAGCGAGGTCATGGTTACCGAAGCCGGTCAAAAAAATCCCTTTCCTTACCTGAGTTGCTGCAGCAGGTAGAGCGTAATGAGATCAGCACCATGGACAGAGGCACAGGACAGGTGTAGTCACCTGAAACACACTCAAGCTGCTCTATTTTGTCATCCTAAACAACAAATGATTGCAAATTTAAAACATTAAAATATGACATTTAGAATTTAGTTTGCAAAGAAGGATTTTTGACCAAAAAATCACCAACAAGAATAAATGAGGTGAGGTGATCATTTGTTCTTGTAAAAAATGTAAAAATTGAAATCTAAAAAAAAAAAAAAAAACAATCTCAGTCCACACTTAAACAAGCCTGTGCTCCCCTTAGAACAATACCTCACTCTGAGGACTCCAACAAGATGTAAATGGATGTTTCACTGGTGTTGTGACCCCTGACCCAGAATGCCCCCCTGCTTCCTGAGCCAGATGCTGCTCCTGTGGACCACAGTCTTCTCAAACCTAAACAAAGTAATCCTCCACTAAACAAGATGGATATTGTATCACCAGCCCTGTTAAAGCTGCAGAGCCAAGCACACAGAGCTTCTCTTCTCTCTGCTCTGAATCAGAAAACTTGAACCGCTTCCACTGTGGATGTACAAACACAAATTGTATGGCAATGTATTGCATGCTGCTGCATATATAAAGTACTTTCTGATATTTTTTTTTTTTTTTTTTTTTTTTGCTGAATGGTAACAAATGTTTCAGGCAAGTTATAATCATAAAAAAATAAATTAATTTTTAAAAAAACTACAATTTGATTATACAATGCATTCAATGCCTTTCAAAAGTGTTCATAAGCCTTGAACTGCTAAAATATAAATATAATTTGATGAGGGGTACTGTAATAGCCCAACAGAAATTGTGTAAATTTGTGATATGGAAACAAGACAAGGTTTTTTTGCTTTTTTTTAGAGTGTGGGATGAATACAATCTTCTTCGCTAAACAGCTCAAGGTCGTTCAGATTTTACAAAAGGGATGTTTGAACAGCAATCTTTACAAGTCTCACCACAGATTAATTTCATTTTTGCTCTCACTTTATGCTTAGGGTCATTGACCTGTTGGAATTTGAACGTCCACAGGAGTCTAAAATATTTAGTCTCTAATGGGTTTTGGTGATGGATTGCCCTGTATTTAGCACCATCAATCTTCCTATCAACTCTGCTTGTCTTTCGCTGCCAGAGGAAAAGCGACGCAATGGCATGATGCTGCCAACAGGATGTTTCACCTGGTGTTCATGGTGATGTGCAGCATATCACTGCATTTAATATATTTGCTGTGCCCCCTGCATGGCTCGTGGAAACCATGATTTCTTATGGCTTCCTTTTTACAGTGGCTTTCTTTGGCCACTTTTTTCAGTTCTGTTTTTGCTCACTCTGTCACTTCAGGTGGTTGGAGTTCATGTCTTGGTAGGTTTGCAGTGGCGCTGTGCTCTTTCCAGTACGCTAAAATGCTCTATGAGATGTTCAATGTTTTTTGTTTTTTTTTAACCTAAATCTGCTTTAAACTTCTCCTCCAAATTTTTTTTTGACATTTCCGATGGATTACTTGGTCTTCACAATGCTTTTTTTTCTTCTTTTCTTCACTAAATCTACTTTAACAAACAATTGAGGCTGTCACAGAGTAGCTGTTTCATCAGCAGTATGTTCTTCACAATCATGCAAAAACCTGCATGACCATGATACATTGGACAGTCACTGAAAATCTCCACAAGGGGGACAAGACGCAAAAGGTAATTGGCAAAGAAGCTTGATGTTAACAAAGGACTGTATGCAAGCATGCCATTAGAAAATTGAGTGAAAGGAAAAAGTGTGCTAGAAAAATGCCCACAAGCAGCAGGAATAAATTAAGCTTTGAGATGATTGTGAATCAAAGATAATTTAAGAAACTTGAGGAGATCTGGACTGGAGCTGGATTAACGGGCCACCACGCCTAGACTTATTCAAAACCTGGGCTAAAACGGTTATGTTCCTTGTGTTACGCTGCTCCTGAGTCAGGAGCAACAAAGAGTGGCCACTTAAAAAAAAGTGTCAGAACATGAATATGTAGCCATTGCAACACTGTATTTGATTATCCAGCAAACATGCTAACCTGACCTCATGGAGACTCTATTGGGTAGGCTACTGTCAAGATAGGATGATAAGAAAAGAAAAAATGCAACAAAAAAAAAGAAAAGAATTATCAGGTATTATCAACATATCAGCAGTGCCACACCTCCCTGCCCCACTGCATGGATACATTAATAAAAGACCTGACCAAGTACCCTGTGCATTCTCAGCAGCTCTGTAAATATTCCTATTGCATGCCTGTCCTTTCTTTTTTAATACACTTTTTCCTTCCACTCAACCTTCCACCAATATCTACCTATATCGCAACAGTGTGAATGTCCAGCTTTGCTAGTAATGTCCTTTTGTGGTTAACATAGGGTCAGCAGTCTTCACCATGATTGCACAAGACATCCTATAATCTTTATTTGCTTCCTCCTCTGGTTTGATTTCCATTAGCTGTAAACTGCAATCATCTAAATGAACCTAAATTAAGGCTTGAAACACATCACGTTGTATGGAATGAACTCATCAAACCCACAAGAGTCATTTTGTCAATTGAACTTTTGCTCTGAATTTGCAGTTTTTGCCACATTCAAATTTAAGTTGCATTTCTAAAAAGTTTAACAAAGAAACTTGAGCTTTGTGCAGAGCTTCTCAAGCAGTTTCTCGGATGTTCCCGCCCCTCAATTCGCGTATTTCAACTTCTCAGCCAATCATGTCCTCCCAAACAACAAAAAAGTTTACTACATGTAGCCTATAAGAACTTCTTAAATTTCTCAACTAACAGAAGAGGGTTTTCCGCCCCCCCCTTCAAGGAACCTATTTATGGATTGTTTTGCGGTGGATCTTCAGGTGGACCGTCTCCCAGGCTTCTCATGAGAGGGGAGTGAGTTCTCGGAGCCCTCTCTGGCCCTACGTCTTCTCAGGTGGGAGATGTCTGAGGAAAATCTGGGGGAAGAGTCGGGAAGCTCCCCCGTCTCTCCTGCGGACAGCCTGAGCAACAGCGAGGGGGAGCCGGACAGGCAGCCGAAGAGAGGCGGCGGGAGGAAGAGGAGGACGAGCAGGAAGAGCGGGGACGACTCGGACAGCCCGACGCCGGGGAAAAGGGGGAAGAAGTCCGGGAGCAGCAGCCCCCAGTCCTTCGAGGAGCTCCAGTCGCAGCGGGTGATGGCCAACGTCCGGGAGCGACAGAGGACGCAGTCCCTGAACGAGGCGTTCGCGGCCCTGCGGAAGATTATCCCCACGCTGCCCTCGGACAAGCTGAGCAAAATACAGACCCTAAAACTCGCTGCCAGGTACATCGACTTCCTCTGCCAGGTGTTGCAGAGCGACGAGCTGGACTCCAAGATGTCAAGCTGTAGCTATGTGGCTCACGAGAGGCTGAGCTATGCCTTCTCCGTGTGGAGGATGGAGGGAGCCTGGTCCATGTCGACATCTCACTAACACCTGGAGACTTTTAAATTTTTTTACTGCTATTATTTTTATTTTTTTATTTTTTATTTTTTGCCCAAAATGGTACGCTTAAGTTTTTGTTTTACTAATATGCATGAACCATAACTGAAAAAGAAAAGTGCTGCCAACTGAAAATATTATGCAACCCAATAATCCAGTAGTTCAAAGCTTGGTGTGCCTCTCTGCAAAGTTTCATGTTTCAAATAACCCGTTATCTAACCTACAGGTGACTGCTGAATCTACTTATCAAATTCTGAAGGGACATTCTGGAGGAGTCCAATGCTGGAAACATGGGATCAACCAAACCAAAGACGACTCTGTGGCTCTGCATGCATATATATATATATATATATATATATATATATATATATATATATATATATATATATATATATATATATATATATATATATATATATATATATATATATATACTTGGTGTGCGCGCGTGTGTGTGTGGTGAGAGGAAGAGGCCCCCATTGCTGGGGCCCCATTTTAATGAGCTTTCATGTTGTTGGCGAATGTTACAAATATATGTCGTTTTTCTTTTTTCTTTTTTTTTTTTTCTTTAGCTTGTTGAATGCATACATTTGGACTTATTTCTGTGGAGATCGAATTAGATGGCTCACGGCTGGTTTTGTGGAATTAACCTGTGCAAAAAAAAAAAATGTAAAGAAAAAAAAGAGAGAAAGAGAGCTTTCAGAATACAATTATTTATTTATTGGTGAAACCTGTTGCCTTGAGAAATGAATCCTGTGTCTGGAATGGAAAAAATAAGTAAAAATAATAATAATAAACTCATTCCATTTTTTTTTGTATTACCTTGTTTTCTGTAAATGTTTGTATATGTTTTTGCAATAAAGAAAAAGACGACGGGAAATATCATTTTGACTCCCCTCCCCCTCCCCCAAGTTTCATTATATTAATTTGTACGATAATTCTCAGAAAACTGGTATAAAAATTATGAAGTATTCATGTATGCCTGATATGAAATCTGCTTACACTTGCGTACTTGCAGAAAAATGAATGGCACAGCATGAGCTGTATTGTAAACATCATTGGGTTTGCACTTGGTTGCTTTGGAGTGCAAAATAGCCAAAAAGAAACCTATCTACTGTTGGCGCAGAATTTGAAAATTAAAAAAAAAGGTTCCTCGTAACTTCTTCCTTTCTTTCTTTCTTTCTTTTTTTTTTTTAAATAAAACCGATTAAATTTAGGAGGCGTTTTATTAAAGAATTGGCAGACTGCAGCTTAAAACAAAATCCCTGCTTTTACAGAATTACATTTTAATCAAATATCTAAAAGTGTTCCCAGTCCCTCTTCTCCTCGCTGTGTTTACAGTTGGATTAAAGTCTGTGCTTGCAGCTCTCTTTTATAAGTAAGTTATACTGAGGTCATGTCAGCCTGCTAGTGGCTCCTCCAGCCTCTTGCTGAAGATTCACTTTATCCTGCATGTAAGTTTTTAGCAGCACCAAGCCACTTTTGTTTTTTGTTTTTGTCTTTTTGGTGTGAACCTGGCGATCCGCATGCGCAACGCCCCTGACAAAAACACGGCACTCCCGATTATTGTCAGTAAATAAATCTTTCAGAGCCCCGCTGTTATCGCGCGGTGATTGATCTCCGCCGATCTGGGAAAATGTTCCTCGCGGTCCAAATTCAAAGTGTGCGCGCGGTCGTAGGTGCGTAATTGGCTCGCGAGGCACGTATGGAATTCCCAGATGTCTATGAAACCCAAGAAGGCCGCGAAGGTGCGCGGCGAGAAGTCTGCGCGCCAAGGCGCAGACGCAGGGCGAGCGCAGGGGCGAGGACCGGGAGAGTGGCTGGGAATTCACCTCAGGAAAAAAGAACGCATTCTGAGCCGTTTTGGTGGTATTTGTAAAAGTTCATTGTTTTTTTTTTTTTTTTTTTTTTTTTTGAAAGCATTTCAATTGCAGCCCCCTCGTGCAATGTAAAAAAAATAAAAACAAAAAAATGTTCCTTCCCCTTCTCTCGGAAGAGAGGAGTTGGCAACTGACACGATGCAGAGGCTCAGAATGAAACCTATTTAGAACAGATGTTAGTATTTTTAAAAAAAAAGTCACGTGAAATGAGCAGATGTTTCAGAGTGTGCAGAGGCTCGCCGGGCAGCGCACAGCTCTGCAGACAGAGCTCCGAGCTGCTTCGCTCTCGGCCCTCTTCCTCCAACCTTTAAAGGACCACTTTCGATAAATAATCTCAAATTTGAGATTGGGGTGGATTATTTAAAAAAATAAAATAAAATAAAGGGAATATCTCCAGGAAACAACCCGGATCTGACCGGCTGCCTTTCCTCGGACTATGAAAGGTAAGATGAAAAAAATGTGAGGGGGGAGAGAGAGAGAGAGAGAGAGAGAGAGCCTGCCGCTCATGGCTGTATGGGGACTTGCTTGTATGTTTGGCTGTAACGCAAAACGCTCAAATGAAGGACAGGATGTTTTGAAAAGAATCCAACACGAAAAGGTCCCGCTTCAGTCAAAGCAGGACCTTTGCTGCTCTTGCAGCTACTTCGGAGAGTGTGCGTGTGTGTGTGTGTGTGTGTGTTTGTGTTTGTGTGCGTGTGGTGTGTGTGTGTGTGTGTGTGTGTGTGTGTGTGAGACTGTGTCTGGAAGAAGAAGGAGGCCCCAAAAGGGGGAGAGTACCCGAGAAATGGGGCAAAGATTTATCATCCAACCTTTGAGAAAAAAAAAAAAAAAAAAAAACGAACCTTGGATTGAGCCTGACACATTACAGCAGAGCTGTCAAAGATGGATGTTTATTCAAAAAATGACTAATTTGTTGAAAAAATATATATATTTAGAAGAAGAAAAATGTTTTCGTTCTTCTGCTTCAACCAGAAAAACCACTATTATTATTATTATTATTATTATTATTATTATTATTATTATTATTATTATTATTATTATTATTATTATTATTGGTGTTGTTGTTGTTGTTGTCAAACAGCTCCTGGTAAACACCAGCACTATTTTTAAAAATTAGTTTTTACTAATACAAAATATTTTATTTCAGCCTCAACAGGTCAGCACTTTCAAGTCTCAAATTATAGACTCTTAACTGTTTATTTATTTATTCATTTTAATTCGTTAGTGAATTAGAATTAAAGTCTCCATGGTTGCTCTCACCCCGTGAAAGAAATGTAAACATGCAATAAATTGCAATGCATTCTGACTAGGAGCTGGCTTCCAAACAGGGCTATTATAGTTATTTAAGAAGTTGGGCTGCAAGGCTAAAAAATAAAAAAATAAATAAAAAAGAATGCTACTGCAAATTTAAAGCACAAAAACAGATGAGAGGCTAAACAGAGACAGACAGCGACAGTCCAAACCTGCTCAACACATTGCGAATGTGACTGATTGCTGAGAAGGTGCATCATGTTTTAACGTAAAAGGAATTTTAGTTGTGCGCACAAATAGGAACCAACAAAAAAAAAAAACAATAAATAAAGAAAAAATTTTAAAATGCGATACGACTCTCAGTGGGGATTTTGTTAGTGTACACAGTAAATTATATACTCATTGAACATTGTTAATAAATAACATAAAAGTTTTTCCGTCTACAACTTCTGCCTTCAGATGTAGACAATTATTTCTCCTGAAAGTAGTTTTGAAGGAAGTTAGACCAAAAAGAATAATAATAAATCAAAATTAGAACATATTTAAAAATTGATTAAATATTCTGTGGCTTCTATAGTCATATTCCGCCATTGCTCAGCTGACCGTTTCATGCTTTTAGATTTGAACAGACCAATGTATATTCCAATGTCTGATTTGATGCATTTAATTCATATTTTCAGAGCTTATACACTGCAAATTACTGATTCGATAAAATACATTGTTGAATAACTTTGTCTGGTATGTGTGAGTGTCAAATGCACAATAAATCTACTTTTTTTATTTATTCGTGGAGGCACAGGTGTATTTCAAAGAAAAATGGGCCACACCTAATTCCTAAGCATATGATTATGATCTGAACCCAAAAACATATTTAAAAAGATGTGCCAGTGAGTTTTCCCTGCAAAGTATTTAGCCAAGCAACAGACATTTTTTAATGATGTTGTTGTTCAGTTATTCATTTTACTTCAGACAAAGTTCAAATCTACTATGTGCCTCTTTTTTTTCTATACATTTTTACTTGATTCTGATCTACCTTCAGGAGCTATTTGGGCTGGAGCTTTCTCAAATATTGACTACAATCTTCTGAATGAATTAAGTTGCCTTTCTTATTGTGAGACTGCTGTTTGAATAGCTAAAACCAGCCTATGTCTTAAAGCGTGCCTTTTGTGACAACCTATTGCACACACAAAAGCAGAGTAGTAAAATCTTTGGATTGTTCAGCAAAAGCAAACAAATAGTTTGGTTGCTCAGAAAAGAATTCCCAAGTGTCAATTTAAAAGACTGCTTTTAGCCTTGCCACCACATGCTTCTCCGAATAAATGAGTGATTTGATCTGTAACTGCACCGAGTCACAGAAAGCCGCTCACAGGCCATAAAACTGTGACACTGGGATTCTGGTATGTGATCTAACTGAGTCCAAGGCGTCCAAATGACAGTCGCAGAGTGTGCACCTTGTGCTTAGCCTTTGTTTCGCGTGATGTGTGCCACCCAGGCTGCAGAACAGACACGGATCGGTGTATTTCAGAGGTATACACAATGATGTCACGAACAGGAAAGGGGCTGGAAAAAGGTTTGGCACCTTTAAGAATTGGCCAGATCTCCCCTCCCAATTGGCTCGGCAGATACGCTGCAATAATAAACAGGCAATCAGAAGGCAGCGTGAGCATACACAAAGGCATTGCAAAACTTTGCAGATAATAAAAGCAGATCTTTCACTTGAGAGCGATGATTATTTGTGCTCCTCAGTTGTCCATAAATAGAGGGCCTCTTACAGGAAGTATAAACATACAGATGAAGTGGAGTCCAAAGCAGTGATTTCAAACGGTTCTGTTTATGTTCAATCAGGACGGGGTGGAACTGTAGCCTTGGTCTTAGCATGAAACACAAAGTATTGTTTCCTGTGGGAAGAAGGGAGGTCTGGAAACTGAGCTGTGCATCTCATAAAAGTCATAAAATATAAGCATGAGTCCTTGTATTAAACGCACAGACTCATAAAAATGTTAAACATTCTGTGTTATTCGAAAGTCTCTTAAATTCTAGATTATTGTCGTGGCCACAAACACCTCAGATGTGACCTTTTCACAGTTAGCCACAACAAACTTTTGTTTGAAAGTTTTTATGACCTTGAGGTGTTACGATCAAAAGCATTTGAATGTTTGCAAATGTGTCTCACACACATCTACACTTATTCTTGTTAATTCAGTAGCTTTTAAAATAATCCAAAATTGAGTCGGGATTAGTCCAAACTTTAAACAGTGAGCACAGCGAGTCTTTTTGTTCTGCAGAATCTCTATGTGTGTGCAAGCTTAATAGCTACATAGTAACAAAGTTGAATGGGCAACAATGATTAGTTGGATTTCCATTAGCCATAAAATTGCACAAAATCAAATTGTGAAAATAAATTTGCTCAATAGAAACATCCAAATTTAGAAAAAACAAATTTTTTGATAAAAAACTAGTTTTGCACTAGGTTGAGGCGGTCTTTAGATAGATGTATTTCGCCAAATTGCAATGAAAACATATTTTTTGCATCACGTGATCAACAGCCGAACATTACTAACGGCATAAACCACATGAAGTAGTAGCAGGAGAATGTTGTTTTTTTTTACTTATTTATATATATTTTTTCAGACAATGTGAGCTCTTAAAGCATCACATAAAATGTTGCGTGATTTGAATGTTTTGAATCTTCTGAAAAATCGCAGACTGCAATTTCCCAAAACGATGCACATGCAGACAGTCCAAAGTTTAAGGGGCTTGTCGCTCTAACATCCGAATAAGACGTTGACATCTCATCATGGTTGAATTATGAATGTATCTAACTGTTTGCCTCCATTGTTGCCAAGATTTTTAGTGACTAGTGAACAAGCTTATGCAGTGTCTTAGTTAATGAAAACACTGCAATCTCAAAAATGTGTTTTTTCAACATTAGAGGAAGGTAGAAAAATAATTTTTGCACGTTTGTAATAGTAATACAGCTAATGTTTACATATTTCTTCTCTCCGAGTTCAAACAAGTGGGTAAAATAATGTATTCAATCATGCGACATGGTCACATGCATTGGAAATTCCATCCGATTGGCTGCTCAGATCAGCCTGAGAGCAGCTGATTTCTTGGATTTGGGATTAGACATGCAATGAATGAGCACCACAAAAAGCCTCGCCCAGAACTTCTCAAGATTCCGGCATTGTATACTTTTTCTTACCTTTGTCCAAACTTTGTATAAAGTTTCTGCCAAGTTTTACTTCGTTTTTATATTGCTATTGATATGATGCTTCATTCAACCCTCAGTCGCTTTGTTTCAGAACCAATTTTCTTCGTTCTTTTTTTTTTTTTTTTTTTTCCATTTGTTTCCAGAGCAATCCAAAGTTGAATACTTTCTAAAAAATGTTACAGCCTGAGCTAGTGAGGGCAGCTGCTACTTCTTGACACAGAACACTGGCTGTTCTACAGCAAGCACCAACACTGCTTGGTGCTGAGTCTACTTTGTTGGCTGAGATGTGGACAGCAAGAAGACCCAGTGTGATTCCCTGATACGTGACACAAAAGGTCTGGGCCACATTAAGATGTTCTGACTGATTTGATGAGTTGGGTTTCTAGTCTGAGAGACTGACGTTCTTGTGCGCCTGAACACTTTGAATTCCTCCATGCTTTGGTCCAATTTTCTTCCAAGCTTTCCATGCCAAGCTGCAGTTTGATGTCATACCTCACAAACAGGCCACAACCATCCCAAGAATCCCAGAGAGAGGTCAAACAAAAGTTTAAATAAAGCAGCCTTGATAATATGTGAATGAGAGAGCTCTTCTCATTAGTGGGAAGAGTTTTCTCAGAGATAATTAGAATCTCTGTTTTACTTTGCCTTTATGCTTCTCTTACTAAAACAAATTAGGAAAAAATAAGACCTCAGAAAGCCTGTTGATAACGATAGTCTTTGAGGGTGTTTCTTGCATTTTAAAAATAATTTTCATTTTTGTTAAAAATACAAAATCTCTTTGTTCTTTCTTTACTGACTGAAACATTCACTGTAATAGGTAAAGAATTAATCTTTCAGAACTGATTTTTGACAACTTTCTGATGAATATAATTAAAGTGGCTCTAAATTTTCTTGATTATCACCGTAAATAAGTTAGCAACACAAAGCCTGCACAGGTTTTAATCTAAGCAGTCTTCTCTTTCACGTGAATTTAGGCAGAGCACAATCTGCCCCTTATTGAGCCAATGGAGTGAAATATGCGGTCCCTGCATATTGCCCCCGGGTGTATAGCAGGCCTCTAATGATGCAGCATCCCTGCTCCTGTCCCTAAAGGCGCTCAACTCCCTGGGCATTAATCCCATTGCCTTCATTAACCTGCTGGCCCACCGGCCACGGCAGCGCTGAGAGCCAGGAGTCTAATCTTATGCTCATAATTGATGTGTTGTTACCTAGAGTTACAAAGATCTCCTTATTCCCCTCGTGTCATTTTAACTTTACGCTCATTCAGATAATTAGGCTCTTAGCAGGGAAGTGGGATCATGGGGAAGCGGGGAAAATCCAACTGGAAATCAGTGGAAAACTTTGTTCCCGGTCCATGTTGATGTCCGGGTGTCAATGAACGCACAGGAAAACACTGAATGATAAATCTGCTCGATAAAAATATGCACCAAAAAAGTTACATCATAATAATATGAACAATATTTAGTTGTTAAAACATTCATCCTGCGAAACAGCTAACTTCACTGGCTTGAATTCACAGCACATCTGATTCCAGCTCAAGCTGCAAAGTAAAATGTTGTATATTCTTTGTGGCATAATTATTCTCCTTTTAGTGCATTCATAATTCTTTCACATTATTTTCCTTAAAACAGAGTTGCAACCAACAGATGATGTGTACATTTTAAATAATATGTCCCCTGGCTTTAATTTTGTGCGTGAAATGTGAATGTGATTCATTCACATTTTTTTCTCTCATCTAAGGAGGAGTTTTGATGCTGGATGGAGACCTCTGACTCCGCTGACCACAACACTTCCAGGTCAGGTGACCAAAGAAATGACAAGCACGTCATCAACTCCTGTGTGCAGCGAATGTATTGCAAAATCTGCCGACAAATGTCCACTGTACTGACTTTTATAGCTGTAATTGTGATTGCAAATTTCTTTTTGTAAACAGCTTTCTTTTCTTTTCTTTTTTAACTGTTACTTCATGGCTGAATGTGATTGTAAATGAGTTCGTAATAATATACATTATTGATTGCGCAAACGGAACATCAATTTAAAAATGTTTAAAATAGCAGCTCAGCTCAGTGTTGAAGCGGGTCACTCCTATTGAGAAGCCTGTACGATTTATCTCCTCTATCTGCATGCTGTCAGGCTGCTGGCCTCATCCTCCTTAGTGCTAAATCAAGTTCAAAGAGGACCACTGGTGTTTGGCAGATAGTTTTACATGAGGGGCAGGGGCAGGACCATTTGTTTGGTCAACCTCTGGCTCCCTCTTTGATTCGCAGCTATCTGTGACCCCATGGCAGAGCGGCGCCACTTAAGGCTCTTCGTTCAGGCACAACGCTCACTGATAAAATCAGCACCGGAACTCACTTCAGTTTCAGTCGCCGATTTTCCAGCTATATTTACTGAATGCTCATATTTAGCAACTTTCAAAAGTATTCATACCCTTTGATGAGTAGATTCACACACTTCGGTGTATTTCATTCAGACTCCGTATTATAGATCAAGAACCTATGCGTAATTTTACTTACCAAAAAACTCCAGCTGTGTGTAATTTGATTTCCGTATAAGTGCAGTTTTTCTACGAAGGCCCCAGATGTTTGTTAGGGAACGTCAGAAAAAGCAGAAAGACCAAAGAACCACAACATATCAGGGAGAAAGTGGAGGAGACGTGTAACGCATGGTTAGATTAAAACACAGTATCTCCTGTATTGAACAGCTCAGCTCTGCATTAAGTGACGGGCTGGCTGGGATGCACATCTGCCCCGATCAGCAGGAACAGAAAAGCTGGACAGAGTTTATGTGAAAATAGGCCGATAATGATTAGAGAATAGGGTGGAGATCAACCGTCACACAGAACAAATAACCAAAACATACAGCTGGAATATAATCAAGTGATTTGGATATAAAAGCATATGACTTTTTTTTTTAGAAAAAAAGTGCAGACCCAACTCAAAAAGAATATACTTGAAAATCTAGATGACGCTGCATAACCTGATGGAGCTTGAGCTTCAACTAAAGTTTCAGTTTCTAGATGGGCAAAAATCTTACACCTGTAATTGCGGCAAAAAGCTATTTTAAAAAGCATTGACTTGAGCACAAATATATTTCTGTCACACTTTTACGTAACAAAATTCAGAATCTTTCCATTTCACAGCTGACTTTGCGTGGGTCTGTCATATAATCCAAGTGACCTGCACTGACATTTGTGTTTTCTGACATACCAACATTTACTAAAGTTCAAAGGTATGAATAGTTTTGAAGGCACTGTTGGAAGTCCTTAAGGCTTCATGTCACTTCCATGATTTATGCCAGATTAAGTTGGTTGATTTTTATAACATGTATGAAAGAAAATAAAAACTTTGTTCCTGCACCAACTACTCATGTTAAAATACAAGTTAAAGCTGTTCTGTTTTGTAAAAATACACACAGCTATAACAAAGGCATCAAAAGCACATTGAATCCGTGATGTGATAGCAGCAGTTCAGTTTCCAGCCTTGTTCTGCTGTTTCTCAATCAGTTTGGTAATACAGAACATTTTCCAAAGAAATGTATGTGCCTTTCCCCTGAAGACAACTGACCAAAACTGGAAACGCATCAGAAAAAATAGTCCCGTGTTTGCTTTGCATTGCAAGTGTGTTATCACGTTAAAAGAATAAATAATGCATTGTGATTTGATACATGTTGCTGTGGGGCAAAACTGAGGCATTAATAAAATTACATACTGATTCAAAAGAGTCACTGCCTGCTTCATAGTGCAATTGATTTCACATTTGTACGCATTTTGTTTCATGAAAATATGTTGGTTTTTTTGTAGCTGCAGAACGTTAGTTGATGACTTTAGGTTTAAAAAATGTTATTGGAGAGTTATTTGAAATGGTGGACATCATAAAAAAAGTGAACTCCCTCTGGTTGGGAGACTTTTTTGTAATCTGCAGAAAGCTGGATCTTTTCTACTGTCCTTGGAAACAAATGTTTCAGTGAGTTTTTCAAGAAATGTTTCCACAAAAAAAAAAAAAAGAAAGAGAGAAAGAAAGAAAGAAATCTGGCCAAAGCTTTGAATTGGATGTGTTTCAATGAGTCACCTTTTTCCCAATGCACTGCTTTGCTCTCTTGTACTCTTATTTTGGTGCATTTTCCTGACCTTTAACACTTGCCCCAGAGAGATGCAAATGCCCAAAGAACATAATGGCTCCCTTCCTGTGTAAAAACCAGGCCCGTAAAGGAAGATAATTAGAGTTGTCATGACAACAGGGTCCAGCGGGCTGATGGAGCCATGTTCGGTCCCAGAACTTCAAACGGTATCAAAGCTGCACGGGCTGGTACATGGGCTCTGGTTTGAATTACCCACTGACTTACAGCATCTCTCTTCGAATTCGAGATCAATATGGAATACCCCCCTCCTCCATCCCCTGCCTTCCAAAAAAATATCTGAAAACGGGGAAGAAACAGCCCAGTTAGTTCTGGTCCAGACATACACAGAAATCTGGGTTTCATTAGAGACAATTATCTTATCTGTTTTATCTCAATGCTGCCCCAAGGGTTGGCAGGCAGATCACTGAGCTCGGTGCAGTTTGGGAAAGCCCACAGCCAGCCAGAGGCCTGTGGATCAGGTCATTGAAACACTCCTGCCCCTGCTGCTAGTGATAAAATATTTTCATGCTTTTGTAAATAGATTTTCGTCTTTCAACCCCACAGGACACAAAAAACACAACTTTTCTTCTGTAGATGTCCAGGGAAGATGAGGAGTCAGCTGAAACGTTGTTGGCTTTGCTCTCTGGTGGAGCTGCATGAGTTCGTCTTTGCTCGTTTCTCAACTTATAGCTGTACTTTATCACTGACACGGACCTGGGTTATTGCAAAGTCCAGTCCACTTTGTCCAATCTCGTGTCTTGAAACGCAGCACAGACACCTGTCAACGCCACGCTGCAGTGGACTGTTCTTTACTGAGAAACATGAAAACATTTCATGTAGAAATGAAAGCAGTTCTCTGAGGTGTTGTTCATGATAAAGTGTGGTTTGAGAAAGCATACATACAGTCTGGATAAATTTAGAGGAGCAAATCTTTTATGTCCTTTCATTTGCTTTGGAGCTGGAGAAAAGACACCACTTTGACTTTACTGTATATTAATCACCTGAGAGAGAAGAAGACAGACATATTCACCCTATTGTGAGATAACATAGTATTGTTCTCTTCTTTAAATTACCCATCTGAATTTCAATAAAATTAATTAAAATAATTCAGAATACATTTTGCTGTAGCTTAACATTAGAATGAGAAAAAAGTGTCATAAAATGAAAACCCATACACTTAGGATTCATAGTGCTTTTGCAAAATATCCACACTGCTCTGTACTCACAACAATCTTCCATAGTCTGAGTAGATTTTTTTTTTTTTTATAACAATGCCAAATATCTTAACCACATCACCAAGTTCCTCAACAAGTTCATTAGCATTTTAACAAGCAAACAGTTCCATTTTTTTTCTTTTGGTAAACAGTTATTAGAACAACCAGAGCATTAAAATGTCTGGGTGTCAAAAACAATCATCTGAAAAAATAAATACAAGGTAGCAAAGGCAACACACTGTACTTTCATGATGTGGAGCAGTGTGAATGCCAATGGTAGGAGAGCCTCAAAGGCAACACCAACTAATGTCACAGGACTTATTGTTCCAATATGAAATAAACATTTTTATTTTCTCTTATTTTATATTCTCTTATGCTGTTTGTAACACGAAAAACTTTATGAGTGCAATTAATCCTGGCATCATTCAACAATTCTCTGGGTGTGAATGAAGAATATAAACTTTGGTACTTTTTACATAAAAGCATTGTGAAATTTAGGCGAAATGAAGTCAGTAAAATTTTATTTGTGTGGCACTTTTCAGAGACATAATATAGATCCCACAAAGCCAGAACAACTAAAACCAAGAAACACATTAAGCAAAAATACAGAGAAGTAAAGCTCTCTTTAATTGTTTTAAATATATTAATTTAAACTGAATGTTCCTGTTCCAGTCATCTAAAATAATAGATTAAGCTGAATATTCTTTGAACCGTGGCGTTGTGCGATTTTCCACTTGTTTCTGAAAAATCCTTTTCTCCAGAGGAAGTTGGAGCAGTTTGTCCAAATGATTTCCAACATGTCACTCCCTGCAGTGTACTATGTAAAAACACTCAGAGGACGATGACGGTAAGACAGCATGATGCAGGTAATTTGATTCAAAGTGAAGAACATCTTTTGAAGAAGGATGTGGTTCCAACAATTCATATTGACTCAAACCAGACAGAAGACCAAAGCCTTTGGCTCTTGTCAAGCCCTGCTAAAAAGTACTAGTGAAAGCAGCTGTGGCATATTTTAGCAGAAAATGTACGTTGTGTGTCTTTCAAGAAAAAAATTGAGTTATAAGTGATACCTCCTATCAAATGTCAGGAGATCACTGCACATGAGAGAAGAGCAATATCTGTCTGTAGAGATGCACCACAATGCAGCAATGTTCCCAATGTTTTTGCTGAGACATAAGTAGCTAAGTTTATACAATCCATTTGTTAGCAAAGAGATATCGAGCATAAATCTCCTGCAAAACAGTTTCGCCTTAGTATATTTCAAGAAAACAGAGGGACGGCCTTAGGAAGTCTGGCAGAGTTTGGCTCAGAAAAAAGCTTTTAATTTTAAGGGAAGATATCTTTTGCAGGGGTTTAATGGTGGCGATAGTAAAAAAGCAGAGAGGGGCCCTTCGGAGGACCCTGGAGCTGTAATTGAGAACCCTCCTCATCAGGGGTTAGGGATCACACAGGCAAAGACTTCCCTTCATCACAGCAGAGCCTGGAAATGCAGAGGACAGCATGGGTCAGCACAGCCGCCCTGCTGTGGGCCGTTACAATGGCAAACAACCCATAGGCTAAGCAAAACAGATGACGAATACAATAATATAAGGTATTCACATGAAGGTCAGTCTTCTGCAGTGATCTGTCTCCATTCTCCAGGAGAATGGAGACTTTTCCCACTTTTCCCACTTTTCTCCAAAAGTGGGAAAAGGTCAAATTGCTCTAGAGAGAAATCACTCCTGAAATCAGGACACGCTCTAGAGGCTCTCTACTGAAGTCATCGAGGGATCCCAGCCCACATCTATCGGGCTAAGATATTTTCTTTCCGGTTCTTTGTTGTGTGTACCCTGCCGATGGAATCTAGCATCCTCGTCAAGGGGAAATTTTATGACTTATTAACTGTCAACAGTTCGCAGCCTCCAAGGAGCCATTAACAGTTCTCCTGTGGTCACGCCGAAAATGCCAGTGTTTGAGTTGGACTCGAAATGTTTTTTGCCCTTCTCCACCCTGTGTACAAGTGCAGCAAAATACTTGACTTTCAGCCTTAGATCGTTGTGTCCAGATAACAATAATAATGTGTTTGCTTTGTTTTGAAAGTACAGAAGGAATTGTGTGGATTTATGGACCATGACCACAGTTTATCACAATAAAGACAACAAATATAGAGAAAAAAAAAAGTGAGGGCTAAAAGCCTTAAATATTTACATGATTGCATCATCACTACATCAATACATTGCTGTAATAATACCATTTATTTTTCAACTTTTCTTTTTTTTTTTAAGTTGAGCTATACCCTAGTTATATTTGCACATGAGAAATGGTGTCAGCTGTACGACTAAATCATTTATCACCAGCCAAAAACAACTCGGATGAATAATTGAGTCCAGATGTGGTTGATTCAAGCTAGATACCAGGGTTCATTTCCTGTCTGTGCTCTGTAAGACAACCTATTACACCTCCCAGGCAGCTGCCGGGCACACCGGCCCCGGCCTGAGTGTCAACACTCCTCAGGTGTCAGCACAAGAATTAAACAAAACGCAGACACCCCGGTCTAATCGCTTTAAAGAGAAAACCGAGGAACACCAAAGGACTTTTAACAATGTATTGCTATCTAAGTAGCTGACTATATTATAGAAAGCATATTATTAACAGCTGCTGAAATGACACGAAAACCTGCAGAGACATCAGCCGGGATCAGTCAAGTTTAGGCCCGACTGGCCCTGTGAATGGTAACTGACTAGTTGAAAATACAAAAGTATAATTTCTGTAAATGCGTTATGTATTCAGCCCACTTAAACAGTCAGTGCACCATTTCAATATTTGGATGCTGAACACAAGACAATAAATCTGATTTATTAAACTTTTGTGAAAAATAAGACTGTTTTAAGGACAGTTCCGCATAATTCACTCCTGGTTTGACTAGTCCATGTAATTAAGTTTTAAGGCATTTATCATGCTATTGTGGTCTTAACAACAAAAAACAAAAAAACAGTGAAACCTTTAGTGACATTCAACACAGTTTCTCTGTGTTATTCCTGTGCCATAGTTCATTCTGGATCTACTTTCTCTAAGGAAAATCACACATGGGGCTTTTTCACTGAGCATGTTCCAGTTCCCAAAAGTCATTTTGAACCAGTTTTACATGTTTTCACCAGAAGAGCAAGGTTCCTGAAACCTGGTTCCAGTCAGTCCGCCCTCACATATTTTCACTTATGTTTCTCATATAAATAACAGACCGCTTACAAAATCAAAGCTGAAAAATAAAATATTGTGAGTGTAGCTGTCATTTTAGTTCTCATATATTACAGAAAGATCTGAATCAGGTTTATTGTTGTTTTCCATTGTATATATATATATATCCTCCAGTATTTCAAAGACCTGTAATTCTTTATGCTCATTTGTTAATA